TGCATCACAAGGTCACAAGGCTCAGCAGGCACAAGGTCCTGAGTTTGATCCCCAGTACCAAAAAAAAATTTAAACCTTTCAGTTACAATGGCTGAATGTTTATAAATATTTCAAGAATATTGGGCTGGGGATTTAAACTCAGTGGTTTCGTCGCCTGCTGCACAAGCGCAAGGACCGGAGTTCGATCCCCGGTACCAAAAAAAAAAGAATATTCATTTGATGCTAAGGTAGGATTCAATTCAGTGTAAGAATTTAATTTAAAAGGGCTGGGGATTTAGCTCAGTGGTTCCAGCGCCTGCCTTGCAAGCGCAAGGTCCTGAGTTCGATCCCCGGTACCAAAAAAAAAAAAAAGAATTTAATTTAAAAATTCAGTTTGAAGATATTACCGATCAGAAATCATGAACAATCTAACCAACGGAAAGGTAACAATTAGAGAACATCTAATTACATGATACCACAGAAGCTATCTGGACATAATGCCAAGCAGCAATTGAAAGTGAGAACTGTAGGTTGGTTTTTTTTGGTACCAAGGATAGAACTTGGGACCTTGTGCTTTTCGAGGCAGGCGGCAGCACCACTGAACTAAATCCCTGGAGAAAGTGAGAATTGTAAAGACATTATTGTACCATGAGCCACCACTCAGGCTACAATGTTATGGGAAGGAGCAGAACTAGAAATTTCATATGCCCTATGATTATTTCACACAATGCCTAACACTGGGGAAATAATAAATAATAGGTACTATTTTTTAGTTAGTTGTACAGAATGCTCTATAAATTGTATTTGTTTTTTTGAGACAAGATCTCACTTGGTAGCCCAGGCTGGGTTTGAACCTGCAGTGATCCTCCTCCCTCAGCCTCCAGAATGCTGGGATTGCAGGCGTGCACCACCACGCTTGGTTTAAGGCAAACATTTTATTGTAGTAAAACAGGAATCCTCAATGCAGTTTAGTAAATCAAAGGGAACACACCCAGGTGACCACACCTAGATGGAAAGTAGAAGATCCCCAGAAATGCCTTGCAGTCACAGATTACAGGGAACCAGGGATTGCCTTTGCCAAAGTCAATTACAACCACCAGGTGGCTGGGAGTGTTGGCCATGCCTGTAATCCCGGAGCTCAGGAGACTGAGGCAGGAAGATCACTGTGAGTTCAAGGCCAGCCTGGGCTACATAGTGAGACCCTGTAACAAATGTACAAACAGTCACTCCTGCTCTTCTTCTTTCCAAGCCCGTGCTGGAAAAAGCCATCACAGGTTTCTAGGCAGTCGCAGGCCAGCAGAGTAAACAGGGAGGGCTGCCGGGAATCCACTTTGATCAGATAAGAGAAGAACCCAGCCTGCGGTGTCCCGTGTCCTCTGCCCGCAGCCCAGGGCAGTTTCCGGTTCACGTGGCCTGCCTAGGCTGCTCCCAGCGAGAGTCTGGAGCCTTGGCGGGTCCCTGGGCTTGGGCCCCTTCTGTTCACTCCTTCGCAGCCAGGGCGCAGGCCTGCCTGAGTGGTGCAGGACAGCCCACGAGCCGCTTTACCGCAGACTTGGACCGCCAGTTTCCAGTATGTCCACTCTGCTTCTGTAGAATAGTGTCTACAGGCCTCCGAGCATATACATATAATCTATATAATATAGATATATAGATATACTTTTTTTTTTTTTGGTACCGGGGATGCAAGGCAGGTGCTTGAACCACTGAGCTAAATCCCCGGTCCAATATGTATATATTTTGAGACAGTATCATCATGTAGTTCAGGTTGCCTTGACCTCATTATGTAGCCCAGGCTGGCCTCAAAGTCACAGCATTCTTCCTGCCTCAGCCTTCCGTGTGCCGGGATTGCAGGCTGTGCCACCACGCCCGGATGGACGGCGGCTTGTGTGAGGAAGTTTGCCCACACAGACTCAAAGGCAAACGCAAAGCCACCCGTGGGGTTTGTAGGGAGGGGCGTCCTGAGCCCCTGACTGCTTCCGCCCCACCCCAGGGCCTGGAGCCACCGCTGACCACACCGGCGGTCTGCTGTCATCCGTGATTTATGGGCCGGCAGGGCCCAGCTGTTGGTGTGACTGCACAGCTCCTCAAGGCTAAGCGGCCCTGGGTAAGGGACAGGGCAGGGGCGGCCTCCTGTGCTAGTTCTGGCTCAGGAGGCTGAGGGCAGTGTGGTGCAAGCTGCAAGCTGATGTCAGCCCAAGAGAAATGCGGGGTTCCCACCCTGGCTCATCCACAATCCCCCACAAAAGCCTGGGTGGCCGGCAGTGCCAGGCTGGCTGAGTGGAGGCCTAGCCCAGTCCTTGTAGGGTTGTCAAAGCTGCTGCCCCCTCACCTGTCTGTCACCTGATTGTCACAGCATCCTGCTCTGTGTCAGGCCCTTCCTGTGCCCCTAGCCCTGTCAACTGCTTCCCCCAATTTTCTCATCTAAGCTCCCTACGGGCCTGCAGGCAGACTCTGCTGATATTCCCTCAAACCTTTGATCAGGAGGATCAGAGAGGGTGAGGACACTGACCAAGGCCACACAGAGAGCCGCCTGCTTTCAGTGGTGACAGTGCCACATGCAGGGTCCAGTATCCCCAGCCACCCCAAAGGGCCAGCCAGAGGGTCCCCATGTGGGCACTGAAACAGCCCCAGCCTTTCTGAAGCTCTCCGGCCAGCATGGTGGCGCTGATTATCCCTGATATGCTGGACCCCAGGCCTGGGCTCTTCCTGCTACTGCTTCTGCTTCCCTCCCTGTCGTTCCCTCCCTGTTGCTGGGGGAGACCTCTGCAGCGCCCTGCTCACTGTTGGCCAGAGGTGCAGGACATCCCAGCCACCTGTGACCCACCCATGCCCTCCACATGGCTTCTTCAACACCCATGGCTTCTTCAACACGCTTGACCCGAGCCTTCTCTAAACACCCCCACCTCTTACTGGGACTGAACCCAGGGCCTTTACACAGGTTTAACCACCGGCCTCTGTTCATGCGACTAGGTCATTAAACGAGGACTTGTATATAATATGTGTATGACAATATTCAGAACAAAGAAATGGTCAAAGGAAACTCCAGTTTGATGACTTTTTATTTACTTAACTCTTTTTTTTTTTTTTGGTACTGGGGATCAAACTCAGTATTTTTTCATTTTTTGAGACAAGACTTGCTATATAGCCCAGGCTGTCCTCAAACTCATGGCGATCCTCCTGCCTTGGCCTCCCCAGTGCTGGGATTAATATTTGCACAACTCTTACATGCATTACTGTAATATATGACAGAACAAAGCTATAGTAATGTACAGTACAATCAGCAAAAATTATGGTACTATATAAACAAGGTGTACTGTACAAAAAAAGACATTGAGGCTCTATAAACAAGATGTAGAGGGCCGGGGGATTTAGCTCAGTGGTTCCGCAGACTGCCTCTAAAGCACAAGGTCCTGAGTTCGATCCCCGGTACCAAAAAAAAAAAACAAACCAAAAAACCAAGATGTACAGAACTAAAAAAAAGACAGGTCACAAGTCTGAGTGCAGGGTCATAAGTCCAAACGGCACTCCTCAGTTGTAAGTCTGAACAAACTTTAAACAGGTAGTTAAACAAGGAATATCTGTACTGACGGCCTCCTCCTTTTAAATTTTTTATTTATTTATGTTCATTTTGAGACACGGACTTGCTGAATTGCCCAGGCTGGGTTTCAATTTGCAATCTACCTGCCTTAGCTTCCCAGAGTGCTGGGATTACAGGTGTGTGCTACCGCACAGGCTTTTCCCTGGGTTTCTCTTTCTTCATTGGCTGCTCCTGCTGGGCCTCCCTTCTTGAGTCAGGCTCCCCCCTCCAACAGGGAAAGGCTGCAGGGCTGGACTCCAAACTTGTCTACCTGTCTGTGACTTCACAATGAGATTTCACTCCTTCCCACCTGGGACCTGAAAATTTCCAGTTATTTCACCTGCTCCGAAGCCTCTCCTCTGGGAGGGGCATGCTCAACTGTCACCTTCACTTTTTTTTTTTTAACCTTCACTTTTTTTTTTTGGTACTGGGGATCAAACTCGGGATCTTTTGTTTTCGAGGCAAGCGCTGGAACCACTGAGCTAAATCCCTGGCCCTTAACCTTCGCTTTTATTGTTGTTTGGGACAGGGTCTTGCTATGTAGCCCAAACTGCCCTTCAACTTGCAATCCTCCTGCCTCAGCCCCCTGAGTGCTGGGATTATAGGTGTCACTAACATGGCATGTTTCCTCTGGAAGTTTTAAAACTTTTATTGCGATGCAATTCACATACCATATAATTCACCCACCAGGGGCATACAGTTCAATGTTTTGTTTTGTTTTGTTTTACTACCCACAGACTTGGGCACCTGTCACCTTGATCAACATTAGAACATTTTGGGCTGGGGATTTAGCTCATTGGTTCCACCACCTGCCTTGCAAGCGCAAGGACCCAAGTTTGATTCCCGGTACCAAAAAAAAAATTAGAACATTTTTATTACCCCAAAGGGACTCTATACCCAGTCACTTCCTCTTTCCCCTCAACTCTATGGACCCTGGCAATTACTTATTGGCTTTCTGTCTGTATGGTTTTGATTTTTCTGGACAACTTCGATAAATGGGATCACTCAATATGATCCTTTTATGACTTTTTTTTCCGGTACTGGGGATCGAACTCAGGACCTTGCACTTGGAGGCAGGCTCAGTGCCACTGAGCTAAACCCCCAGCCCTGTGACTGGCCTTTTTTCCCTTAGTATGATATTGTCAAGGATCATCTGTGTTGTCACATGTATCAGCGGTTCCTTCTTCTAAGTAGCCAACCAGCCACACCTGTAATCTCAGCACTGGGGAAGCTGAGACAGGAGGATCAGTGCAAGTTGGAGGCCAGCCAGAACTACCTAGTGAGAACCTGTCTCAGAAAAAAAAGAAGAAAAAGAAGAAGCAGCACATAAGTTTTAATTTTTTTTAAGATAACCAGGCAGGTTTTATTAAAGGGAGGGCTGTGGTCATAGGCATAGAGACTGCTACAACAGTCCTGGGAGAGGAGAGAGGATGGCCTCAACTCAGGAAGGTGTGTATGTGCATGTGCATGCCTGTGGGAGCATGGTGTGCGCCTGCGCGTGGGCTGTACTGAGGATTGGACCAAGGCCTTCCTGCCGATCTTTATCCCAACCCCTTTTAATTTTGTCTTTTTTTCAAGACAGGACCTCACTAAGTCACCCAGGCTGGACTCAAACCCGTGATCCTCCTGCTTCAGCTGCTCAAAGCACTGAGGTTACAGGTATGTACCAACACACTCAGTTCAATGTTTTTCTTGCTTTTGGTACTGGGGATTGAACCCAAGGCCTTACCACTGAACTACATTCCCACAGGTCTCCACACACACTTTTTAATTTTTTTTTTTTGGAAATAGGGTCTTGCTAACTCTCTAAATTGCCCAGGCAAACCTCAAACTTGTGACCTTCCTGCCTCAGCCTCCCAGACTGCTGCCATTATAGGTATATGCCACTACTCCTGAATATGTCTGGAGTTGTTTCTGTATCTTCTAATATGTTCCATCCATCTTCAGGTCTGTTATTTTGCCAGTACCATGCTGTTTTTATCACAGTAGCTCTGTAGTATAATTTCAGGTCAGGGATTGTGATGCCCCCTGCCTTGCCTTTGTTGCCCAGAATTGACTTTGCTATTCTAGGTCTCTTCTGGTTCCAAATGAAGTTTAGGATTGTTTTCTCTAATTCTTTTGGGATTTTGATTGAGATTGCATTATATTTGTATAATAATTTTGGAAGTATGGCCATTTTCACTATATTGGGTCTTCCTACCCAAGAACAAGGGATATCTTTCCATTTTGTGATATCCTCTTTGATCTCCCTTTTTCAGAGTACTGTAGTTTTCCATGTAAAGGTCTTTTACTCCTTTCATTAGATTTATTCCTAGGTATTTCATTTTCTTGGTGGCTGTTGTGAAAGATGCAGTTTCCCTAATTTCTCTCTCAGCGAGTTTGTTATTTGTGTACAGGAATGCTACTGATTTTTGAGTGTTGATGTTGTATCCAGCTAAGCTACTGAATTTGGTTATCAAATCTAGAAGTCTTTTGGTGGAGTTTTTGGGGCCTTCTATGTAGAGTATCATGTCATCTGCAAATAATAATAGTTTGCAAGCCAGGCGCCGGAATGCCTGAGCTAAATCCCCGGACCGCTCCTTATTCTTTTTAGTTCTTTCTCTTGTCTAATTGCTCTGGTTAATGTTTCCAAAACTATATTGAACAGGAGTGGTGACAGTGGACATCCTTGTCTTGTTCCTGATTTTAGTGTGAAAGCTTTCAGTTTTTGACCATTTAGTATGATGTTGGCTGTTGGTTTGTCATAGATGACTTTTATCAAATTGAGATAAAGACCTTCTATTCCAGTTTTATGTAGGGTTTTTATCATGAATGGGTGTTGGACCTTGTCAAATGCTTTTTCTGCATCTATTGAGATGATCATATAGTTTTTGTCCTTGACTCTGTTAATACAGTGTATTACCTTTTTATGATTTACATAAATCGAACCATCCCTGCATCCCTGGGATGAATCCAACTTGGTCAGGGTGTATGATCTTCTTGATGATTTGCTGCCTTTTGGTTGCCAGTATCTTATTGAGGATTTTTGCATCTATGTTCATTAGGGAGATAGGCCTGTAGTTCTCTTTTTTGTTTGGGTCCTTCTCTGGTTTTGGTATCAGGGTAATCCTTGCTTCCAGGAATGAATTTTGGATGTGCCACCACTCCTTAGCCTGACAAAAGTGTTTTAAAAATTTGTTTTGGTGGGGAGTGGTACTGAAGATTGAACCTAGGGCATTTGGACTCAGCTACATCCCCACCCTGTTTTTATTTTTTATTTGGAGACAGGGTCTTGCTAAATCTTTAAGTTGTCCAGGCTGGGCTCAAACTTGTGATCTTCCTAATTTAGCCTCTTAGACTGCTGGGATTACAGGTGTGCACCACCATCCCTGGCTGAAAGTTTTTCATTTCATTTGTTTATTTATTTTGAGACAGGGTCTGTTATGGTTTATATCTATTTTTTATTTTTGGTACTGGGAATGGAACTCAGGGCCTCAAGGTTGTCAGGCAGGCACTGCATTGCTGAGCTACATCTCTGGCCCTATGGTTTATATCTAAAATGTCTCGGGCTGGGGATCTAGCTCAGTGGCAGTGCACCTGCCTTGCAAGTGCAAGGTCCTGAGTTTGATCCCTGGTACCAGCAAAAAAAAAAAAGTAATAAAATGTCCCCCAAGCTTCTTGTGCTCCCAGGTGGGGCTTTTGGATGAGACTGGACCATGGATGTGATACTGGATAGCAGTGTGTGACACAGGATCATGGATGAGTGATAACTGGATTAGCTGGATACAATGTCAACACTCAAAAATCAGTAGCATTCCTGTACACAAATAACAAACTCGCTGAGAGAGAAATTAGGGAAACTGCATCTTTCACAACAGCCACCAAGAAAATGAAATACCTAGGAATAAATCTAATGAAAGGAGTAAAAGACCTTTACATGGAAAACTACAGTACTCTGAAAAAGGGAGATCAAAGAGGATATCACAAAATGGAAAGATATCCCTTCTTCTTGGATTTGCTAAAGGCAGAAGCCCCACTCTGGGTATGTGTGGCACCAGCCAATCAACTTGTAGCCTGGATGGACTAAAGAGGAAAGGGGAGGGTCCTTGCTGCTGCTTTTTCCTGCCTGCCCGGCCATGAGCTCATTCTCCTCTACCAGGACAGTCTGCCAGGCCACCCTTGGAGCCAGCCGACTATGGACTGAACCCTCTACAAACTGTGAGGTAAAGTAAACTTTTCCTCCTTTCACTTCTGGGTGTCTGGTATTGTGTCCCAGCAATGAAAAAGAAAATAAGACAGGGACTCACAGTGTAGTTCATGCTGGCCTTAAACTCTCTATGTAGCCCAGGCTGGCCTTACACTCAGTCATTCTCCTGCCTCAGCCTCCCCAGTACTGGGATTACAGAGTGTGCCACCGGGCCTGGAAGTTTTTCATTTTTGTGTACTTCTTCTTTTTTTTTTTTTTTTGGTACCAGGGATCGAACTCGAGTCCTTGCGGTTTTGAGGCAGGCGGTGGAACCACTGAGCTAAATCCCCGGCCCTAAGTTTTTCATTTTTAATGAAGTCCAATTTGCCTATTTTTTTCTTTGGTTGCTTGTGCTTTAGGTGTCTTATCTATGAAACTATTTCCTAAGCCAAGGTTGTGAAATGTAGTCCTCCTTTTTCTTCTAAAGTTTTATAGTTTTAGCTTTTACAGTTAGTTTTGTGGTCCATTTTGAGTTCATTCATATATAGCGTGACATAGAATTCAACTTCATCATTTTGCACATATGTGTCTTGTTGTTGAAAAGATTATTTTTCCTCTCCTGAGTTATGCTGCCATCTTTGTTGAAAATCAGTTAGTTTGTTTGTTTGTTTTGAGACAGGGTCTTGCTTTGTAGTTCCGGTGGCTTCAAACTCATTATGTAGCCCAGGATGGCCTTGAAGTCCAGCGATCCTCCTGATTCAGCCTCCCAAGTGCTGGGATTACAGGTGTGCATCACCACAACCAGCTTGTTTCATTTTAAAAGCCGGTTAGGGCTGGGGATTTAGCTCAGTGCTGCCGCTGCCTGCCTTGCAAGCACAAGGTCCCGAGTTCGATCCCTGGGACCAAAAGCAAAACAAAAACAAAACAAAAAACCAGAAGCAAGTCTTCCTTCTTTAAATTCAAAAAAAAAAAAAGCCAGTTAGGGCATGTACCTGTAATCCCAGAATTTGGGAGACTGAGGCAGGAGGATTCCTGGGAGTTGGAGGCCAGCCTCAAACTGGTCTAGGCTGGCCTTGAACTTACTATGTAACCCAGGCTTGCCTCAAACTCTTGACAATCCTATTGCCTCGGCCTCCTAAATTCTAGGAATACAGGCATGCACCACTATGTCCGTCTTTGTTTTGGTTTGGTTTGTTGAGATAGGGCCTTATTATGTAGTCTGGACTGGCCTTAGAGTGTGTGTGGGGGTGGGGGGGTTACTGGGGACTGAACCCAGGGCATTTGCACTGAGGAATGTCCCCAACCCTTTTGATTTTTCTTTTGCTTTGGTTTGGTTTATTTGGTACTAGAGATCAAACTCGGGACCTTGCGCTTGCAAGGCAGGCACCCGAACCACTGAGCTAAATCCCCAGCCCCTTTTGATTTTTTTTGAGTCAGGGTCCCACTAACCCACTGAGTAGCTCAGGGTGGGCCTGAACTTCCAATCCTCCTACCTGTCCCCATCCCAAGTGCTTGGATTATGGACCTGCCCCACTCCTGGCTAGGATCTTATTTTATTTTGTTTTTTTTGTACCGGGGATCAAACTCGGGTGCTTGTGCTTGCAAGGCAGGCGACGGAATCACTGGGCTAAATCCCCGGCCCTGATTTTATTTTATTTTATTTTATTTTATTTTATTTTATTTTATTTTATTTATTTTTGGTACCAGGGATCGAACTCTGGTCCTTGAGCTTTCGAGGCAGGTGGCGGAACCACTGATCCAAATCCCTGGCCATGGCTAGGATTTTAATAGAGATTGCATTGAATCTGCAAATCAATCAACCCTACTGGATTCTTACAGTATGAAGATTTTTGATCCAAGATGTCTTTCCATCTTCTTTTATTTCTTTCAGCAATGTTTTAGTTTCCAGTGTACAACTCTTACATACCTTCAACTAAATCTATATCTAAGTATTTTATTTATTTATTTTTTTGCTTCTTTTGAGGTTCTCAGAATTAATAATTCACAAGAAGGACTTGCTATGTAGCCCAAACTGGCCTTAAACTCACAATTCTCTTGCCTCAGCCTCCTAGGTGCTAGGATTACAGGTGTGCACCACCACAGCCAGCCCAAGTATTTTTTTTTGTTCCTGTTATTGGAATTCTTTTTTTAAGTTTCATTTTTGGAATGATCATTGCTAGCATATAGGAATATAATTTTTCATGTATTCATCTTGTAGCCTACAACTTTTCTGAACTCATTGATTAAGTCTAATAGTTTTTCAGTGAGTTAAGGTTTTCTAATAAAAAAAGATTTTTTTCTATGCACTGGTAAGATTCATGTCATCTGAGGTTTTATTTCTTCCTTCTAATATGGATACTTTTCTTTTTCTTTTTTGTACCGGGGATTGAACTTGGGACCTCTCGCTTGTGAGGCAGGTGCTGGAACCACTGAGCTAAATCCCTGGGCTGGATACTTTTCTTTTTTCCAGTAGTAGGGTTGCAACTGAGGCTCTCACACATGCTAGACAAGTGCACTACCACTGAGCTGTGCTCTGGTCCTGATGATTTATGTATTTATTAATTTACGTGGTACAGGATCTCACTATATTGCCAAGGCTGTCCTTGAACTTGTGACCCTTCTACCTTCAGGTTTCCAAGTAGCTGGAGTTGTAACCATGGAGCAGCGCACACAGCTAGTAATAGGTACCTTTTATTTCTTTTTCTTAGCTGATTACCTTAGATAGGACAACATTAAATAAAAGTGATGACAGTGAACATATTTTTCTATTCTTTCTTTTTTTATTAAAAAAATTTTTTTTGCAGTACTGGAGATTAAATGCAGAACCTTTACACTGAGCTACATCCCTTTTCAATTTTGTTTTGATTTGTTTTTGTTTTTCTGAGACAGGGTCTGGATATGTACTCCACGCTGGCCTCCAGCTTGCAGTGATCCTCCTGCCTCAGTCTCCTGAGTGCTGGGATTACAGGTGTATGCCACCACACCTGCCTTTGTCTTGTTCTTGTTTTTTTTTCCCAATACCAGGGATCAAACTCAGAACCTTGGGGTTTCAAGGCAGGCCCAGTGCCAGTAAGCTAAATCCCCAGCCCATCTTTGTCTCATTCTTAATCTTAGGAGGACATCAGTCAGTGTCTGGCCATTAACCATGCTGTTAACTATGGATTTTTCATAGATTCTTGTTATCAGGCTGTGGAATTTCCCTTCTATTATTAGTTTGTTGGGTGTTTTTTTTTTCTCAATCATGTTGAGCTCTTTCTATGAGCTCTGTGTTTTTTATCCTGTTAGGGTGATGGATTATATGAATTGATTCCTGTTAGAGTGATGGATTATATTAATTGATTGTCACATGTGTGCCGGGGGTCCCCATGGCCACCCTTGGGACACACAGAGTATCATGCACTGCTAAGATTCATTACAGTGATAGAGAACAAAGCAAACCCAGCAAAGGGAAAAGCCACCGGGCAAAGTCCATGCCTGGCTTCCACAGTGTTCTTTTGGGGCATTGGCAGATGACAGATGACATGCCTGATTCCTCTAGTGGTGACAGCCAGCACAAGATGTCCACCAGAGACACCCGCTAGAGAATTCAGGCTTAAGTTTTCTAACTGGCAGCCTGTGGAGGCTCCTTCTGCCTGGCATAGATCAAAGTCATGGATTTCCAGAGGGAAATGGATTTAGCATAAATCACCTGTTTATAGAAATAGCTTAGGGACTGTTATTGTTTATGTCTAGATGTCCCCCCTAAAGCCTCATGTCCTCATTAGTGGGACTTTTGGGAGGTGACTAGATCATCGGTGTGTGATGCTGATTAGTCCACAGACAGGTTTATAGCTGGGTATGATGTTGGGAGGTCAAGCCTGGTGGGAAGAAGTGGGTCATTGTGGGCGTAAACAGAAGTCTAGCTCCCTCGATCTCTCTCTGCTTCCTGTCTACCCTGCCATGGACTGTTTCTTCTCTGCCAGCCCCCTCTGCAATGCTGCCTTGCCTTAGAGCCAGCCCATTATGGGCTGAAACCTTTACAAAGTGTGAGCCAAAATAAACTTCTTTTTCTTTAACTTACAGGTGTCAGATGTTATGTCCCAGCAATGAGAAAGTAACTAAGGCAGGTACAGTGAGCAGCTCTTCGCAGTCCTGAAGTCCATGTTCCCAGGCACCAGCCACAGGTCAAGCTCAGAAGTGGGTATTTGGAGGACAGCAGTCTCAAGCTTGCCATGGTAACTGCTTTCTACATAGTATGTTAAGCCAGTTTAGTGTTCCTAGGCAGTGTCCCATGGAATTATGGTACAGAATTTTGTTCTATGTATTTTTTTTTTTTTTTTAGTACCGGGGATTGAACTCTGGTCCTTGTGCTTGCGCAGCAGGCAGCGAAACCACTGAGCTAAATCCCCAGCCCTCTATGTAATTTTTTATGTATTGTTGAATTAGGTTACTTAGTGTTGTTTTGTTTTGTTTTGTTTTTCTATTTACTTTTGGTAGTACTGGGGATTGAAACCAGGGCCTTGGCACTGAGCTACATCTCCAGCCCTTTCTTTAGTTTTTATTTTGAAACAGAGTCTTGCTAAGTTGCCAAGTTATCCAGGTAGGGCCCAAGCTTGTGATCCTACTGCCTCAGCCTCCCAGAGTGCTGGGATCACAGTCATATACATGGGACCATAGACCTAGCTTTTTGTTCAGGACTTTTGTGTCCAAATTAATTAGGGTTTTTGATTTGTAGTTTCTCTTCTCATGATGTCTTTATTTGGTTTTACTATGGGTAAATACTGGTTTCATGCAGTGTTTGGAAGTATACCCTTACAAGAAAAAACAAGAGAAAATAGAAGGAAAAAATGGAAGTGTACCCTCATCTATTTTTTGGGAGAGTTTGCAAAAGATTGGTATACATTAGTTTTCCACTGCTGTGGTAATAAATTGCTATAAACTTTATAGTTTAAAATAACACAAATTTATTCTTTTTTAGGGTATGGTAATGCATGCCTGTAATCCCAGAACTCAGGAGGCCGAATCAGGAGGATTACTGCAAGTTTGAGGCCAGCCTGGGCTACATATGAGTTCAAGGCCACCCTGGAATACATAGAGAAACCCTATCTCAACTCCCTCCCCACAAAAAAAATCACACATTTATTCCTTTACAATTCTGGAATTTTAAAATTCAAAATGAGTCTTACAGAAATAAAAGAAGGTGTCAGCAGATTTCCAGAAAGAATCCAGCTTCTAGAGGCACTCATAGCTCTTTCCTCCATCCTTAAAACCACGTAGGCAGTAGCTTCTTTTCTTTTCCTTTTTTCCCTTTTTTTGCAGTGGCCAAATTTATTTGAGAAAGAAAAAGTAAAGAGTTGGGGAGAAAGAAACAGGCTCTGCAGAGCAAAATTGGGCTCAGTAAAAGAGGAAAAAGCAAGAGGAGAAAGCAGAGTGGGCTATCGTGAGGAAAAGTCACCATAGCCTTCTTTCTTAGACTATTTCCCTCTTTTTTTTTTTTTCCTCAACACTGAGGACCAAACCCAGGGACACTTTACCACTGAGCTACATCCATAGCCCTGTTTTGGTTCCGGGGATCGAACTCAGGTCCTTGCGCTTGCGCAGCAGGTGCTGAAACCACTGAGCTAAATCCCTGGCCTCATAGCCCTGTTTTGTGTTTTGAAACCAGGTCTTGCTAAGTTGTTCAGGCTGACCTCAAACTTGCAATCCACCTGCTTCAGCCTCCTGAGCAGCTGGGTTCACAGGCATGTGTCAGTGTGCCTGGTCCTGGATTCCCTCTTATAAAGATGTAATCACATCAGGTCCACCCACAAAATCTAGGATAATCTCCAAATTTTAGCATTCTTAACTTAATTTCATCTGGCAAATCACTTTGCCAAATACATTAACACCATTGGTTTGGTTTGGTGGATTAGGACATAGATATCCTTTTTTTTTTTAAGGGGAAAGGTTTATTTGGCTTATAGTTTGTAGAGATTTCAGTCCATAATCAGCTGTCTCCAAAGCTGGGTGACAAAGGGGCAATAGTGAATGGCAGCAGAAGATAGCACAAAAGCAACAAGGGCTGGACGTAGATATCTTATTTTTGTTTTGTTTTGTTTTTTGAGACAGGGTCTCACTATGTAGGTTAGACTGGCCTTGAGCTCACTATGTAGACCAGGCTAGTTTAGAATTTGTAGTGATCTTCCTGCCTCAGCCTCCCAAAAGGACATGGATATCGTTAGGGAGTCATTTTATTCAGCATTCTGTAATTGATAGTAATTCCTTGAATGTTTGATGGTATCATCAGTGATTCTTTCTGGGCCCAGATTGTATGGTAAACTTTTAATGATTAATTAATTCAGTCTCTCTACTTGTTATAGGCCTATTTAGATTTTCAATAACTTCAAAAAATTTTTTTTGGTTTTTTGAGGTAGGATCTCCCTGTGTAGCCCAGAGTGGCCTTGAACTCATGGTGAACCTCCTGCTTCAGCCTCCTAAGTGTTGGGATTACAGGACTGTGCCACCATGCTGGACATAGATTTTCTTTTTCTTTTTCTTTTTTTTTTTTGGTACCAAGGATTGAACTTGGGACCTTGCACTTGCAAGGCCGGCAGTGGAACCACTGAGCTAAATCCCCAGCCTTAGATTTTTAATAACTTTATGAATCAGTTTTGGTAATTTGTGTTTTTATAGAACTTGTCTATTTCATCTAAGTTGTCTAATTTATTGTATAGCTATTTATAGTATTTCTTTATGATCTATAAGTATGTCTTAATCCATTTTTATTGCTATAACAAAATAATTTTTTTGTTGTTGTTGGGGTTTTTTTGGTACCGGGGATTGAACTTGGGTCCTTGCGCTTATGCAGCAGGCGGTGAAACCACTGAGCTAAATCCCCAGCCCTAAGCTTGTACATGATATATCTTGATTCTTCTTTTTTTCCCATTCCCCTCCCCTCCCTTCAACCCCTCTTCCCCTCCTTATTTACAAAAGCTTTGTTTCCATTTTTTCTTCTATTTTTTTGTCCCTTCTTTCTAATTTCTTATTTTCCAAACTAAAATTGTTATTATTATTGCTTTTTTTGAGACAAGATCTTGCTATGCAGTCCAGGCTGGCTGTGAACTCACTATGTAGCCTGGGATTGAACTCATAATCCTTCTGCCTCAGCCCCCCGAGTGTTAGGATAACAGCCATATGCCACCACACCCAGCCTTTTCTTTTCTTTCTTTCTTTCTTTCTTTCTTGTTTCTTTCTTTCCTTCTTCCTTCCTTCCACTTCCTTGCAGTGCTGGAGATTGAACCCAGGACTTTGCGCTTGCCTAGTGCTTGCTTTACCACTAAGCTACACCTTGACTAGGTCTTTTCAGTAACTTCCTGGGGCCAAGAGTGCAGCTCAGTGGGAGAACTTAAGAACACATGAGGTTTAGTCCCTAACACCAACGAAGAATAAATGCAAAATATGTAAGTAGATGACATTACAGGCTCCAGAGCCTGGCTGTTCCATAATATATATAGGGCCAGGGATTTAGCTCAGTGGTGCCACTGCCTGCCTCACAAGTGCAAGGTCCCGAATTCGATCCCCAGTACCAAAAAAACCCCAGAAAAACTATATATATATATATATATATAGTACCGGAAATTGAACTCAGGGCTTTGTACTTGCCAGGCAGGCACTGTGAGGCTGAGCTACATCCCTGGCCCCTGTTCCATAATTTTTAAGTATTCTCTTATTTACAGTTATTTCCAATTTGTTCTCATTACAAACAATGCTACTGGGTGCACTTTTGTGTGATCACTGGACTCTGGGATAGATTCTTAAAGGTGGAATTGTTGAGTTGTATTACTTTTTTTTTTTTTTTTTGCGGTACCAGGAATTGAAGTCAGGACCTTGCACTTGCCAGGCAGGCACCGGCACCACTGAGCCACATCCCCGGCCCCAGTATTACTTTTTAATTGGAAAAATGTTCTGAAAAATAAATAAGAGGGCCCGGGATGTAGCTCAGTGGCACCGCGCCTGCCTCAAAAGCACAAGGTCCTGAGTTTGATCCCTGGTACCAAAAAAAAAAAGTGACCATGTAATGGAAAATAAGTTTGGCTAGCTATACCATAGCCACATTGTAAAAGATTCTCTTGAGGCCAAGTATGTGGGCACACATCTGTGGTGCTCAGGAAGCTAAGGCAGGAGGACATCACAAGTTCAAGACCAGCCAGTCTACATAGTGAGTTCAAGGGCCCGGATTTATCTCAGTGGTCCTGCCGCCTGCCTCACAAGCAGAAGGTCCCAAGTTCGATCCCTGGTACCAAAAAAAAAAAAAGGAAAACCAAAACAAAACATAGTGAGTTCAAAGCCAGCTTGTGCTACATGGTGAGACCCTGTCTAAAAAGAAAACAATTCTCTTTATGCTTTTTTTTTTTTGGCAGGCAGCAGAAGAACTGAGCTAAATCCCCAGCCCAGAAAAAGATTCTCTTGTGCCAAGAACTTTAGTTTTAAGTGTGGTGGCTCATGCCTATAATCCCAGCAGGCTGAGGCAGGAGGATTGCCATGAGTTTGAGGACAGCAAGGGTCACATAGACTGGTCTTGAACTATGGAGCGTGACGCTGTCTCAAAAAAAACACACAAAAAAAACCACCTTTAGCCTTAGGGCAGTAATGAGCTACTGAGTAATAAATCAGAATTATCAAGCCTGCTGTGGTGGCACAGGCCTGTAATCCCGGCACTTGGGAGGCTGAGGCAGGAGGATTGCCTTGAGTTCAAGGCCAGCCTGGGCTACATAGTGAGCTTAAGGATAGCTTGAACTACAGAGCAAGACCCTGTCTCAAAAAAAATTTATCATTTATTAAGAACTTATCATGTGCCTAGCACTGAACTTGTTTACATGTAAATCCATATCCCATTCTTACAAAAATAGTCTGCTACGGGTGCTATAGGTGTCCATGATTTTATAGCCAAGGAAACTGAAGCTAAGTTTAATTTACCTGCCAACCAAAATTACACAGTTTATTTATTTATTTATTTATTTATTTATTGGTACCAGGGATCAAACTCGGGTCCTTGTGCTTGCGCAGCAACCCCTTGTGCTTGTGCAGCAGGTGTTGAAACCACTGAGCTAAATCCCCAGCCCCTAAGTTACAGTTTGTAACTGGTGTAGTCTGGATTTGAACCCAGGCTTCCTAACTTTACCATTAGATTTCAGCAGTATTTAATCCAGGCTCCCTGGGAGGCTGAGGCAGGAGGATGACAAGTTTGAGCCTAGTC